TATTGTCCTTAATAGGCTTAATAATTAAGCTTACATTTCTTTAGTGTTGTTAAAAAACTTTTTTTCTAATTTTTGTGATTGTATGCAATTAAATTTTCCAGAAAAATCCAATAAATTGCTTGGAAACAGCTCTTTCCATGAATTCTAAAATTTCGAGAKTTTCTACGCTGGCAGTACTCACGTTTTCTTCACAATTCATGCACATACTTTCAATTGTCAAAGGACCGTTATCGTCATCTCCTTTCAATTCTGGGAACGCCGCCTCTTTCTTTTCTTCTCTCACTTCTCCCATTATTGATCGGGAGATTTTAAACTAGGAAAAAAGGAAAACAAATCACTTGACCACGACGTTCATTGCGTAAAATATAAATCTGCAAAATACCGCTGACTAATTGACACAGGCAGCCCAAGATATATACTTTTTGATTTTTTTTGTAGAGTCGTTAGCTCTATCCCCCCCTGCCCCCTGAAAAGCAACAACAAAAATGATGTAATTTGATATCATTTTTTAACCCTTATTATAACCAAAATTTCTTCTATTTTTATTTACTTAGAAAAATAGCTCTAAAGTTAGTTTTCCCCAGTTTCCCGAATATTTCGTCCAACATGGCGTCCACGAGCAATCGACCAATCAGCAATCGCTTTGGAACTGCCTTCCTCTCTAGATTGCACATGGTTCAGTATTGTAATGGGCAACGTTTTTGCTGCTTCTAATCCTTCTCCTTCTTCTCCTGGGGAAGGATTTGTGCCTCCTCCACCGCCATTAACAGCACCACCTCCAGTAGAACCTAAACAGCCAGATGGGAAGTCACAAGTGTCCAAGAATCCCGGGGCTTTTGAAGAATTACATAAGAAATGTAAAGGTAAGCTGCTGTCGTTGACAGAGTCCAAGCAAGCCGGCAAATCGTTTATTTTTTGTATCTGTGGAGAATTGATCTTAGACTAACTTATGGTGTCTCTTGAGTTGTTTGATAATTCTATTAAAGAATTYTATGGAAGCAAGTGGTTCTTTCTTTGGAGTATTTGATCATTTCCACGTGTCGTCCCTAAAATGCCATGCATATTAAAAGTTGTTACTGGTTTTGCACGATTCAGTGAGTTAGACTGGAAAGTTTAGTGATCTGATGATTCATTTTATAAGCTRCTGATTTTTTCAGCTTATTCAGTTATAACTTTGCTGATGCTAGAGTACAAAAACTAAAACTATTTAGCAGTAAAAAATGCAAAGCGTTGAACACATTTTAGTAATTGTACTCTGGTGAACTCACTGTAATAATCCTTTTAACTTTTAAACTGTACGAAATAGTAAGCATAACAACTATAAAAAATGCTAATATCTTTGTCTAATCAAAACTCTTTTTCAAGGCTTCTTTTGAGGCTTCCTGTCAATACTGGCTACATGTAGGCTTACTTCATAATTTAACTGATTCGTGATGCAATCTTTAGCTCTCAGGTGCGGATCCAGGGGAGGTGCTTTTGGTGTGGACGCACCCCTCCTTTTTGAACAACGTAATTTTTTTATATATAAAAGAATTTATATAAACGTTTTTTATTGCTGTTTATACTCCTGTTGTACTTCGATCGAGAAAACGAGTGGCATACACGACCTGTCTGCCACTATGCTGCTTAACAATCTATTTGAGTAGTCAAAGATATGTTGCAATAAAAGTCAATTTGCTTCTGGTCAAATTGTGCATAATGTTCTTGCTGTAGGCAATACACAGCTAACAAAAATAATCAGTTCCACTATACTTGAGCTATATATTACTGACAAAAGCACCCCCCCCCCCCCCCCCCCCCCCCCCCTCCTTACAAAATGCTGAGTCGGGCCCTGAGCTCTGAATTTCATAAACATATGCTCTACTTGCAAGCAGACTTGGTTGACAGTTTATACCATATTTTACACTCCAACTTAGGAGCATTCTTGAAAGATCAGTTTATTTGGGAGAATCAAAACTATGTGATAGAATTGGTACTCATGCATATGAATTGTTTGTTTTTAGATGTATTCCCTCAACCAATGGAGGGTTACAAACTACTTATAAACAAAGGACTCAGTAATCATTTCCAAGTCAGCCATTCTCTTCAGCTGAGTGGTATGGGACCTGGGGCCTACCATTTTGCAGCAACCTATGTTGGAAGTAAACAAATATCTCCTACTGAGGTAACAAGTATATAAAAATACCATGATTTATAAGGAAAATACCTCATTTTMATGTGTTTAATTATTGAGGTTATCTCCTGTGAGTTTTTTTCGTTATGCCAAGGTGTTATTTAAAATATTTTCATAAGAAATGAGCTAAAGTCAGTAATTTATTTTAGTTGTAACCTCTTTGATTGTTTCAGGCCTATCCAGTTTTACTTGGAGATATTGACACATCAGGAAGCCTGAATGCACAAATTATTCACCAATTAACAAACAGGATTAAAGGAAAGTGTGTTATACAGGTAATGAAATCATGCAAAAACATTGTATTCTTTTATATTTGTATAAAATCTTACTGACTAATTTTCTCTACAGACACAAAAATCAAACTGGGTTCTTGTTCAAGCAGATGGCGAATATCGTGGAAATGATTTCACAGCTAACTTRACTGTTGGAAATTTAGATATTGTCAATGAATCAGGCATTTTAGTGGCRCATTACCTACAGCGYATGACACCAAAGCTWGACTTGGGTGCTGAATTACTATATCACTATGGCTCTGGGCAAGAAGTAGCTGTCATGTCAYTAGGAGGAAGATATACTGCTGAAAAGTGGGCTGGWTCAGCRTCTGTTGGCCAGGCTGGCTGGCATCTTAGCTATTGGCACAAAGGCAATGAAAATGTGCAAGTTGGKGTCGAATATGAGTATAATCAACGTGCAAGRGATAGCTGTGTTAGCCTGGGATATCAGATTGATATACCAAAAGCAAATGTTTTATTTCGAGGAATGGTTGACACTAACTGGACTGTTGCTGCYGTAATGGAGAAAAGACTGTTGCCTTTACCATTCACATTTGTTTTAAGTGGCATGGTTAATCACATCAAGGAGCAGTCTCGGTTTGGATTTGGCTTGACAATAGGTTGAAACATGTAGTGTTTTATAATCTTGTGTAGTTTAGAACTTTTTCTTATATTATTTCAACATGATTGTTGACCAGATCCAAACATTAATGATAAATTGCTGGGCTGTTTGGGAACGAAATTGCAGCTTACAGCTTTTTTTAAATTTCACACATATTTTGTGTCAAAAATATTACTATGTACATTGTACATGTAGGTATATGTAGTCGTCATTGTACAAATTAAAAGCATTCATGTGTGTAGAGATACTTTCTCTTTGGGCTTGTGTCTTGTGTGTTTTGTACAATTCCAATGTTTTTAGACTGATTGACAGTGAACAAGCTCTTCAGTCAAATCTTGCATGACAAGGCATGACATTCTAGATTTTGTCTCTCCCAAACAAGTATTTAGTTTCTTTGCTTTAATTCCCTATAAGTCCAATTTAATGTTTACAGTGGGCCACAAAATGAACCTCAATCAAGCTCAGCATTTATATATAGACTGGCTTTCATTTTCAGCATAGTTAATAGAGAGGACTAGTCCTCTCTATTAACTATGTTTTCAGTAAACTTGGGTATTATCGTCGTGTATGGGAAACCTCAGGGGAGTTTATTGTAATGTAAATTTACCGTATGCAAATTATCCCGACCATAATTCGTGTTCACTTCGTTCTTATATATTAATTATTTAGTGAAATGTTAATGAGAAATTGTTTAAATACTAGAAAAAAAGGAGTGCAACCAAGCGAATTCACTCGTGGCGTAACCGGTTAGGTTTAGGGTTAATGATCGGATAGGTCATATTTAGGGTTCGCAAGTTCGAATCTTATCAGTGGGATCAATTTTTTTTCTAAGTGAGGATAACCAAAAACCTCAAAATATCAAAAAGTCACACTCGTGTGTTCGGAAACATATGACATACTTGGTTACACGGTACACGACGATACTACCTAAACTTGCCCAAAAGTATCCATTTCTAATGCTTAATAGTGTTGCTCAGTTATCTTTCATAAAATACATTCATATTTAAAATGATTCAATTCTATGCTATTTTATAAAATATGACCGTTTTTTTATAAATTTGAATGAGTTCTTATGATATTTGAGCATTTCTATTGTAAAATCTGGACTGGTAAGCTAAACGCCTCTCCCCAGCCTCCCCTCCCGCCCACATACCTCTTTCCTTGGTAACCTAGCATGAGTGGTCTTGTAAATACTTTTTCGTTGTCATGGCCGGCTCTCATGTATATTTAAAAATAATTTGAAAAGGGGTAATTGTTAAAAGCCAGAGTTCATATTCTTGTGCATTCTGAATGAACTGTTTTTTGGTCGATGGAGGAAACRGAGGTGGAAGAAGACCAAACACAAGGGGTGATAAAAACCATTGCGTCTCCCACAGTTTTGGCCGCCATTTTGGACGAGTCGAACCAAGATAAACAAACGATTGATGTCAATTYACACGAAGAGAAATGTTCACGAACAAGTTCTCCAGATAAATTACMGTCTTTGGAGATGGCTGAAGGCCAAAMGGATCCAAACATGGATGATTCGTTTATCGCAGACTCTCTGGAGTACGATGACATGACACATGCCAGCTTTGACGAAAAACAGTTTCAAGAAATGAGTCGATCAGTCAATGATTCTGATGAACATTCGTCTTTAGTTGAGAACCCATTACATGAAGACACGCCAAAAGCATCCGTTGGATCTAAACCACTTAACAAATCTGTTAAGGACAAGCAAACTTCTAAACAAAAGCCAAAAGAAACAAACTTTATTGATTTAAACAAGGGAAAATTGAATAGAACTACTGGAAAAAACAGTTATGCGGCTATGTACTCTCAAAAATTAAAACAAAAAAATACGAAAATTAAAGATGGTGTTAGTGACGGTGCGGGTAAAGAGAAATCTAAATTACCGAAAAGTGAAAGACAATCGAGTGTMAATAGTTATCTTTCATCTACAACGTCAAATAACTATTCTTCTGTTCAAGAAAGGAATTCATCTCTTTCTGGCATTAATCCACCTTATGAAAAGAGTTCTTACTACAATGTTGATCCTTCATATTTACAAAATCCATTAAACAATAATTATTATCCTTCATCAAGTGTAAACCAGCCTGCAATTATTGGCTACAATGATTATTTTAGTCAACCTTATCATGTTCCATATAAGGACTTTGGGCTGAGGTACAGTAATTTTGGTCATCAGTCATACATGACAGCTAGTGCTGTTGGAGTTCCAAGACCTGCAGACAACGTGAACCAAATACAAGGACACTTGTCTCAGTCGGCTCCTCCAGCGGCTCCAGGRAGGCAATCTCTTCTCGATCAAGTTGAGTTTTTCCCAGAACAAGAACATTTGTTATCACAATCTTTGACAAATTCACAATTCATTAATCCAATGCAGTTGTACCACACACCTTCTGTTTTAGAGAAACGGTTTGTGTCTGAGCCTCACCTATCATCAATGCACTATATTGCTGAAAAAGGTATTGACAATGGCAACAATGTGAATACTTCTTTGCGGAAAACACAAGATTATAAACCCTATACTCTTAAAGATTACAAACAATTTCAAAATGACCAGCCTGATCGGTATGGTGGCTTAGGCCCTGAAACTGAAACAGAAGAATACAAAGAAAAGGTTGGATATCATAATAATAAATAACAATAATATGTTTACTTCTTTCCCTTTTTTCATTAGACACTGAATACAGTTGATAAAATGAGTGTTTCTATTTCAACAATTAAACTTTTAAATTAAAATGTAAATAGAGGCTGAATGGATTAAAGTACCTGCAGCCAGGAACCATAGGACCAGAGGTCTTTTTGTTAAAGTTCTCTGACGATGACTTTCAAAAAAATGCTGGCTGGTCAAAACTTTCAAGTGGGACTCATGACAAACCATGGAGACAAGGCCTGAACATCAAAACACATATCACAGAAAATCTCAGAATTCATCTGACCAATTTAACGTAATTTTAATCTACAGGTGTCGAAGTTGAACAAGCAACGAGAGTATGCTGAGATGTTACGCATTGACCACGCTGCCAAAAAGAAGAACTGGTCCAAAAAACCTGCAGTTGCAGCACCACCTGCTCGACAGCAACAAGCTGAAGCTAAACGACAAGCTGTAAGTTTTGCATTCTTCAGAAATTGAACTCTCGTTCTGAATTCAGTACAAATGAGATGACTCAGATTTTTATGGAATGCAGTTTTATTTTTGATAAATATGAATGCTTTTCATTTGTAGATTATCATTGTAAATTTAGTTATCACCTTTGAGTCATCTGATATTAGTCTCTTTTGATTGTTAAACAGGCCATAAATTATGCAAAGTCAGTGCCAAAACCAAAGGTCATTGACCAAAGCCAACGAAAGGAACCCAGTCAAGTTAAACCTCTTGACAAAGAAGGTGATGTTCCCCTGATTGAATTACTACGCATGAGACACATACAAGAGAAGCGCCAAGTTGAAGCCATGAAAAGAGAATTGATATCAAAAACTCAATGAAGTTATAAAAGAATTTAAGGTATTGWTGAAATTGTCACTCTGTTGGGCTCCCTTTGCTGCTACTGAATTGGGCTTCCTKTGTCGTGAAAGAGACACAGGGTACCCAACAGAGTGGTGAAGGGATTGGGCCAGCAACTGGAATAGCTATTTATGGACTGGAAGCCCTAAAATGTAGTGTAAAAAAACGTATATAGGCATATATGCTTATATGTTTTGAAAAGGCCTGATGTTTCACACAATCATGTAAAAAGCGAGAGAAATATCACACAAATAGATATTCGACTTTTAAGTTAAAAAAAGTCTCTTGTCACACAGTTTGTGACAATAAAAATAATTAGTCATTCAAATATCACTGTAAATACGTGAATATGTACTTTCAGTTATATCCTTAAAGATTGATAATATGAACTTTTACAAATTCTTTTTATTTGTTTTATTACTATAATCAAATATTTATTGATAACAAATATCGCCTATAAACTAAGGTGCGTTTTACATTGTAAACATTTGGCACATGGTTCAACACTCAGATTTGCTGGTTTATAGTCTTCATCAATAAACTTTTCAATTATCCATWACAGCAATTTGTTATAATAACTTTTATTATGCAATGAACAAGAAATAACAAGAATATGACATGCCATTTGCACATAAGTTTTCAAAAATAATAAATGTAGTCGCATTGTGGATAATAATATGATAACAATATATTAGAAATATTGTTACGCTAGATATAGCTATTTCAAAAAAGGTGGTACAGATAAAACGGCGAATGTCAATGGTCGAACGGCGCGGATTGCATGACCGAAAGTAACCATGGGTTTTGCTAGTTGAAAGGCAATAGCAACTGATTTATACTATAAGATGGTCTGTGGTAAACATTGGCTCCATTTAGTCACCATTTCTATGTAAGGTGAATCCAATAAGTGAAATTTTGTTAAGTCAAAACAGTGCAACCATGGTCCCTTTCGGCCGTGCAATCTCCCTTCGACAATCGCCGTTCGCCGTTCTCCCCGACAACAATTTTTGAAATAGCTGTATTTTGACGATATTCAACATACGCACTTGGACAGGAGCGGATTTAGGGAGGAGGGTCGAAGGGGCCGCGGCCCACCATTTTGCTGAACAAAAAGGAAAAGAAACTAAAAAAAGTCAACACGAAAACATCGAAAAATAAAACAACTCRAAATAATTTGCGCATTTTTTATTTATCATTTGCGCTTCCGAGTTGAGGAAACAAAGGCAAATTCCTGTGAAAGTTTCCACCATTTTTGTCGACGGCCTCCACTTTTCAAAATTGCTGGATCCGCCCCTGTTGGAGGTGGTTACGCTTCTCTTATTCACCTTAAAACTTCCTTTCTATTTCTGTTCTAAGAAGACTTGGCTGGTAACCTTWTTTGTAGAAACACTCCAGCTTTAGTAGTCGTGCTCGAAACGGCGTGTCTSTCATCTCAGTGTCTTTAGTATGATACTATAACCGCATAATACAGTGTAACAAGAATAGCTTTGAGCGGGGGAAGCGTCGCCCTATCACAAACGAGCATATATTAAGTGTACAATAAAAATAAATAACAGAATAATGTACAATATTTAGTGCCGCTTAAAAGTGCTTACATTTCTGCCCACATATCAAGAACTTCCTGACTTGACTATGTTTTGACATCACTTCTTTTTGAAAGTAATCCCATCCAATCTCAATGAATAATCTGTGAATGAAATATCACGGTTATCAAGTATTTAAAATCATTTCCACAAATAGGGGAAGTGTTTTGTTGAGTCATAGCTTTGATAAAGATAGAGATCAGCAAATAGCCCACTTTATTTTTTCCGAGGAGAACAATCCTACAAAACTTTCCCGTGAGAACTACTTGAATATCTTWAGTTTTCACCGATATATTGATAGTTCTGATTGGAGCTCTAAGCTTGGGCTGCTCGTAAAAATCTAGTTTGGATAGGAAGTTCAGCTAGTGTTTTATATTCCAACTCTTGTTTACCCGGCGTTGTTTGATTCTTGACGGTTTTGTTTAATGTTTTRGTTAATAGTACTAAATCAAGAAAAGGGGTGGGGGCTAAATTAGGAAATCAAAGGAATCAAGTAAAAGTAAGGAAAAATGCGGCGGGCATCTCTTCCAGATTGCATCGCGGTACATCCGTCCTACATAATTTATTGGTTGCAAAATATCTTCCAATGATGAAAAAGAGCAAAACTATGGTTGAATGAAAATATACTGATGAGATATCCAACATCGCGTCGATGACGTTACCAGCATATTCTTCGTTAGACGACTGTGGATATTGCATTGTGGTATTAGTAMAGCAGCCTCTCCAATCTTGACATGAAACAAATCATATACTACTAAGTATATAGTGGCCAGCTTTTGAACTGCTGATCCACTTCCTMAAACAGAACAATACCCTATTCCAATACTAATCGAGAAAATGCCTCGTTTCGTTGTAGTGAGTGTCTAAGAAAGCAAACTTTCATTGATCTCTTGTCAAATAACTCGAGCATATTAAGACATTTACAAATGAAGACGAATCTATATCTAGAATTGGGTMCGTGTTCTGTTTTTCAGTTTTTTTCTTTTTGTTTGTCTGAWKTTTTCCTTTTGCTCTTTGCACAACCTCTCTATCCCTCCCCTCGGACATCTGGTTATACTTAACACTCCTTCAACATGCACATGCAACATGCATTTCTCTTTTTATATATTCATTTTTACTTTTAATACTGATCTAAAATTAAGTGGCTCCATGTTCTGTTTTTTTTTTTTGTTTTTTTTTTCTTGCACGACCCATCCCCCATTGCATAGCTTTTCCTTGCCGAACACACTCCGCAAGCTTGTCTTTACCCTGTCTTAAAAGACTTTTCTCCATTTATTTACTGTTAAATCCGTACATTTCGTAWGTATTTCTGTCATCTGTCGGCGAMCRAGACAATGGTGGTGACATGGTATATGGGATCAGCAAAAAAGAGCACAGTACTTAGAAACGGGATCATTCTTATAGAAAGGGATCATTCATTTTATCCAACGGCAGGRATCAAAACTGCGCAATTTTAGCACTGATAAAGAATCGAAATCTTTAGGTGATATAAGTAAAATATATACTTCCTATAGCAAGATTTGTATTCTACCTTTGTAGCTCAGATTCATTGTATGTTCTCCAAGTAGGGTGTGGTCTTGCTCAACAACTAAAACACCAAGATCGGGCAAATATTACATAATTCTAATAGTTTCCGCCAGTRATCATCCAAATGGCGACTACCGTATTATAGGATAATTTTTAGAATTTAAATAAATCCACTTGACTGAAGCATCATCGACATGCATTGGTTAAAGGTGACAACATGTATAAAAGCGGCCACTGTTTTTAGGTAGTTCACATTGAACTCGGATCTTCACTATATAGCCGACCATGACGACCAGTGTAACTTTCTTAGTTTTGGCGTTGGCTCTCTTGACCTGTGTTCTGGCTGGTCCTTTCAAGTACGATAATCGCAATTATAAAGTAACAACAGATAGACTTGTAAGTATAGGTTCACRTATACTGTTTCGCAGTTTCATTGATTAACATGTTTTTCATGATTTGACCACGGTGAAAATAATATAGACGTTATTGTGATTACGGTCTCCATTTTGAATTATGTACAGTGTGAAGCCATGGGATGCCTGGGGGCACGAAACAAAACGAAACGAAACTTAATTCGTTTAACTTTAATAGCTCTATGTTAAACTTTCTTTTTATGACCAATATTTCAGAATAGCTTCAAAAGGCAAAATGTTTACTGTCAAATAATACTTTATTTTAAAAACTACACAAGGTGTACGATTGGTCGAATTGGAAAGTTTTCAAAGTCACARTTTATATAGTGCAAGAGTCAACATACCGCATGAGAGTCGCTCCCAATGCAAATGAGATCACTGAAAACAGTGACTTTCGCAATAGGCCGCCCAACTATTGCTTGAGAGGCTAAAAGAACGAATCATCGCGTGCTCTTCGAAAAATGCGTGTTATCTATCAAGGGTACCTATAGACCCGCGAGGCGGGGGACCGTGATGTTTAACATAGGTAATACGCATTTGCTAAGAAAGCGCGCCGATCTCTTAAAACTCTCAATTGAATAGTTGGGCGGCCTATGGTGGGTTGCGGCTATAGGTGCCTTAGGTGTCTGAGAAAAATATAAATGCCCTTCTGACTGACAATTGTTGTTGTGATCAATTCTTCTAGAGGAGTTCAACACAGAAAAGAGACGGATGTTCTCTAATAGACGAAGATTGTAAAAATAAAAGTGATTGTAATGGCTATTGTGGATCATACGCTCTGACCTGCTACTTCGATGGCACATGTCAGCGGGATACTRKGGGTACTCTTCCCTTCTCTCGACGCCAACAGATGSAATGATTAGGACTTAATCACGTAATTAAATGAGAGATCTAAATAGTAAAAGTGAATATGAAATAACACTGATTTGATGTCGTTTTTAACCTAAACGCAACTGACAAATTTAAAAATGATTCTACTATTGCACATTTACGACGCRCGCTTGCGTGCTAGCGCTTTCCTTTCGAACTTACAGTGAGGTGTTTAGTCACGTGAAGACTGACGTAAAATCTWCTCCATATATAGGCATCCCTATTTACCTTTGTGTTCCGTTGAGTTGGGTTTCCTGCATATAATTTTTTCTCGTTCTCAGTCCGTTATCCATTTCGATTCGTTTACTTTACTAATGAACACCAGGCTTACAAATATTAGGGTGGCATTTTGTTTATTTTATTTTTTTTTACATTCACAGTTCATGATCGAAAATTCGTTTCCCTGGAGCGAGATTTAATTGATCTCTTTTTGACCCGGGGTAGAATTAGCGGGGATGGCGCTCGTCGGATCTCTTTAAGAGGGGTAAAAATTCGTGATTGGGAATCTTTTAGGGTACCAATTTGGAGTGAGTTTCTGGAAATTTGCTTTTTCTGTATCTCTTAGGGTGTCGGAAAAGAAGAGAAAGGGCGCATCGATATTGATTTTCCTCTGCGTTTTTATCATTGAGACTGATTTAATTTAACAATAGTCGTTGTGCAATCACTTAGGGGTTAAAAATCAGTCAGCCACACCCTTATTTAAAGACTTCCGGGATATTTTAGGGGTCTTTTTGAAAATTCCGACSAGCTTTTACCCCAGGGTCCCCTCCGGGGCTTTTTGGGTTATAAATGATTGTGCCCTCGTGTTTTTGATCATCGGAACCTCAATCCATTATCCCCCTATGCATACACGGACCACGCCATATCGTGGAGAGAGTATATCCTTGTTTGCGCACGAGAAGAATTACCCACAACTAAAGAAAATAAATGAATCAATAAAGAACAATGAAATAGAAATGAAATTTGCGATGTTTGTGGGTATCTTTTGTATTTTTTAGCGGCCCACTGCACCCATTCAGTGCTATCACGTCAAGCACGTTTTGACCATTGTAGTGGTGCACGTCACGATAGATCAGCACGCACATAATCCACAATAAATCTTCATTATCACAGCAAGCCAATTCGTCAAGCTTCATCGCTGAACACGACTTAATTGACAAATCTGTAAAAAAAAAAAACATTTTAGATAATTAGTCAGGTTTGCTTTAATATTACCCTTCATCAAGCACGATTTGTCAGCACGGAGGAAACTTTGCGTGCTTTGAATACATCGRMCACCGCATTACGTGTTATGACGTCATTTTGTTTGCAGYCTTTGGCCCTGAACCCACATTGTACCGCTTATGTGTTAAGTTGGGTCGGTTGGTGGTTAAGTTAGGCGTGCATTCTTATGTGTTACAATATTTTAAAGCTACCCACGAGTCTACTCACATTCACACCTCATGAAGAAAAGAAGAAATTTCATTTCTACCTCCCGGTTCATCTACACTAGGTTTTCGCAGATCTGAAAGTACACTGATTTTATAAAGCGTAATTATTGTTTTCATGCTGCATAGTTTATTGAAAACCAAAATGCGCGGCTCTTGTTGGTTTCTATGTAAGTGGCGTTATCAGATTGCTTTCGATCCCCAAGGGCACTATCATAGGTACTCAACAGTTTCCTGAAATAGCTTCTACTCCAGCTTGCAAGAAACGATCTATAGTGAAGCTCACTCAAATCCCACTTCTTAAAAAAAACCTCGATCCCCCTTCTTAAAAAATCCTTCGATATCTTCCCTTGTTTAAAATGACAAAACATATGCGATGCGAAAAATTGTTTTTTTTATTGCAGTTTCTTATCCAATTCTTATCCATGACTGACAATACCCTTCTTTCTTGCGATAAATCCGCATGTATGTCTTACTGTACACAGAAAAATAGTTTAAACATATAAATATTTATTTTTGTTTTTATTTTCTTGAATTCACTTGTTGATACATTTATAATCAGTCTCGGTTGTGCATGTTCACGGCACTTAATGTGCAACGACTGAGTTGGTTGGTTGCGTCGCATTGGTACTAATGCTCTGTGTGGTCGTGGGAATTTGTAATTCTGATTCAAAGTCTGACAGCTCTCCTTCTAATGGTGGTAGCAATGTGCACATTTGAGCTTGTTTATACGACGAAGTTCTACAAACTTGTTTGTGTGGGTTTTGCTTGTGGTAAGGCATTTTGCGAACTGGATTAATAACACGAAAATTATTGTCAATTTGCAGTTGCTGGAACTGGCTCAGCAGTGGATAGTGAGGTATCGATTGTTGTTCTGGAGTGTAAACTGGAGGGTTTTGTTCTACAGACACAGATATTTCAGGAACATTTTGACTCTGTTCCATTGATTGYTGTGTATCCTGCTGTTCGTTATCGGACATAAGTCGTTCATATTGTCTTTGCAGTTCTTTGCGCATTTGACTGTAACGTTTCTTATAGTCCACATGTAACGCCTGCTGCTCGCTGAGCTCAGAAGGCGATAACGACTTCTGGTATTGTTCCTGAAGTTTCAAATGTTCTTGCTGCAACTGTCGAATTCTATTAAGTGTGGTGTTTTCTCGTGCATGTTGTTGCAAAAACGGAATGACAGTGTTACCATCCGAAGCTCTTCTTGCAAGGGAGGGATGATGAGGATGGTGATATTGCGGAGGAGGTTCATGTCTGTGCAGTTGTAAATGTGGTCCTGAGCCTGTCATTTGGTTTATTGTTGGTGTTCCTTGTGTTTGAACAGACGAAGTGAACATAAAAGCCGGATTTATTGTAAAAGCAGACGCTCCTGGAGGAATTCCTCCAGTAGAGGCCTGRCTCCTTAGTAAGGGATGTCCCGCAGGTGCCTCGATGCGTCCTTTCGGCGTGTTGTGAACAGTGTGTCGACGAACTTTGGGTTTTTCAACAGATTTTGTCGCAAGTGCACTTTTAACTTCTGCGTCTTCGTCATCGTCGTCGCTCTCCATTTTCTCRATGTTACTGATGACATTTTGTGAAGCATTTTCGATCAAYAATGGACCGCGTTGCCTTGGAGACGAAGACCTCTTTGGTGATCCCATTTCTCGTACAGGAGACATTTCTCGCACACACTCGTTAGCAATTTCCCGCCTTATTTCAGGAGGCGTGGGGATTCTGTCGTGTAGTTCATTTATAGCATATTGTAAATGTATGTAAGGTCGAAATGGTTGAGCCGTACAAATTCTTTGGATTTGACGTTTTTCTGTMGGTTCTTGGTCGATTTGGAGGTTAGCTCGTACGACGGCTGCTTCAGCAATACCACTGGGACGCCGTAGCTTGGTTTCATACTCKGGCTGYAGTGGGTARCTCGCTCGGTGTTGTTTTAATCGATCAACAAGAAGGTAGTATATAGCTGTGTGATGATCGTAGGCATTTTCATTCAGGGCCTGTAGTAACAAGTAGAGAAAAAATGATAAATATAAATAATAAAATCCGAACAGAATCGAATAAACAGAAGAAAAAACAAAGGAAAAGTATGGGTGGAAGGATGGAAAAAATAGTCCATCAAGAGGTCCATCACTTCCGCATACAAGCAAGTTTGCGACACTTACYGCTTTAGTTCTTTCGATATCAATTCCAAGTCCTAGCATCAAATTAATAGCTTGTTCGTTGTATTCAGACTCGGCAGTATTGTCCTCCGTGTTTTTCAAGTCTTCGATTAATGTAGCGTTAGATATAAGTGGTTTTCCAACTGATGGCAATTCAACGCCCTGCAGCCATTTATGCTTTTTAATCTGGTCAATTGTGTATCTCTGATACGGGTCTTTTACAAGCATGTGGCGGATGAGATGTTCGCATTCTTGAAAAAAAAGAACAAGAAATGAATAAAATGAAAATTTTAAAAACGTCATCATAATATCCCATAGTGCCCTTCGGCATTCTACCGGCAACTTGGCACATTCACGTCTTCCGCCGCTTACCTGTAGACATGAAGAAAGGAATACGGAACTTTCCCTCAAGAACTCGATCTCTCAAAGTTTGGAGTGTGGCACCATCAAATGGTAGAGCACCGCAAACTAAGACGTAGAGAACAACACCAAGACTCTGTTGAAAAACAGTAAGATTTCGTCTAAATTTCCATAGTTCCTTAACTAAAAAATAATCTTAATGCATTATCAATAAATTATTAGCTCTTATAACATATTATTATCCTATCTATAAACTCAGGTGGCCATAAATGAATCAGATTACGTACATGTAAGCTTATTTTAAGTTGTAACTGAGTGAATATTAACATACCCATATGTCTAGCTGTGGTCCATCATAGATTTTTCCTTCAAACACTTCAGGCGCAGCATAAGGTGGGCTTCCACACCATGTATTCAATGGATTGCCAGGTTTATAGTAATTACCAAATCCAAAATCTAGAAACAAAAAGTTGAATAAACATTAGTGACTTCAACATCCTGAAAAATRRGCCTGAATACTGAGTGTATTCAAGAACCAAAATGCTGTTAGATCCCCATTTACTAGTAAGTAAACCATGTACAACCCACGTAAATTTATATGATGACCCACAATGCATTCTGATATTGGAATGCACTATTTGAAACAGCTGTATAAATTGTACTTTATTAGGGTTATTGATCGTTTTCAACCATTCCTATGAGGTTCAAAAGATCAACAGCTGCCATATTGGAGGAATGAACAATAGAACTAATGAGAAATCCTTTGTTGAAGTTCCTCCAAGATRGCTGCTGGGACGTAACTTGAAAACCAAGAGTACAGATGTTGGCTACCTGGGGCTGRTTGTATAAAGGTTGAATAAAGTTATCCAGCAGATAAATCGATTTTTTAATGTATTTTATCCCGTGTATATTTATTTATTTAGTGGATACCATTGTTCACACTTCATTCAATCTGTCTCTGTAATGCTAATAATTATACAATGGACATAATTTATCACGCATTTAGCATTAATTGGTACCTGCAATTTTGATATTCATATTTTGATCAAGAAGAAGGTTTTCTGCCTGCAAAGTAATTATACTAATCAGAAAATTTAAAATTGGAAATATAAATGAATAAAATGCAAAATGYATAAAAATAATATATGAATCTAGAGATAAATTTCAAAAGGTGTAATCAAAAACTCTTCTAGAACAAAGTTACTAATCAACATTTAATACAAAATGGCTAGTATAATTTTAGCTTTTAGTGCATTTGATAAAACCCCCCAGGCTTATAGTTTARTGCAAAAACACAGTCTTTATTATGGTGCAAAACTAAAAGTTCTTGTTAATGATGAAATGACCTTTATATCTCTATGTACAACGTGGCATTTATGGCAATACTCCACTGCACTAAGTATTTGGATAAATTTCTTCTTTGCTTCTTTTTCTGAAAGTCTTCCATGGTGTGCGAGATAATCTGGATATAGAAGAGAAATACAGATTAGAGTGAATCATTTACAGCAATCATTTTTTTTCCCATTACTATAAGTGAATCATCAAATTTTATATCAGGATGGAGATTCATGCATCCGCAATTTGATACCAAAGAACTATGTCATATAAATAACATCATTTCTTTTTGTATTTTCATATTTTTTTTCTATAGTAAGTAAATCTACAGCTCAGCTTGAAAACAGTAGTCAAGGGCTAYGATCCAAAACTAATGTCAAGTACTGAAGATTGAAACATGCTTGATCTCTTTATCACTAAACTGCCAATATATCTGAATCAGATTATAATCCTTATATAAGATGGATCTCATCGGGTTATATCTTAGAAGATGAATTCATAGGAAATGGTCATGAAACCATGATCTCCTTACAAAACACATTTTGCTTTCAACTGTTTAAGACCAGTATAAGATCCTTACAGCCTTAAGCAATATTTAAACGCCTTTATTATCACTTTTATTTTCAATATTATTTCAAGACATGCTAAAGAAATGATTAATTTAATAGAATTAACTACTGAAAGACTTGTATTTTGCACAAAAGAACAGCATATTTTCAGCTAAATATCCATGTTCAAGTGTTAAGCTTAAATTCTAAAATAATTAATGTAGCAGTGTATTAGCATTCCAATGACTAGAGGGGATAGAATGGATTTCCTGTTTCTCCCAATAACTGTTTTTTAGCATTCTTCTGTTTCAGTCTAAACATAACCTTGAGTCAAAATTCTTGTCTTTTGCAGAGCTTAGAGCTTAAAATCACCAATGATAATCATTCAAAAGTGGACTCAACAAAGTCAGTTTTTTTTAAAAAAAGAGAAAGTTTCTTTGTCCATTGAGTTATTGTTTTTCACAAATGATGCATCTCATCATTGTATGCCCATATATGCGAAAAAGATATTTCTCTGGATCTAATTTGCTATCATTTAGAAAAGAAAAGTTGCTAATATATTTATCTTTGGTTCATAAGATCATAAGTGACACTAGAAAGGGTTTGTGGATTCTTTTTACGGCTTCCATAAACAGCAATTGTGTAAGCTACGTAAAACAATAGCTTTGTTTCCGTTCGAAACATTCTAGTCTTCAATCGAATGTTCTTTCGCTCTTTATCAAAATTGCCACTACCCGCGCACCTCACTAACCGCGAGATATTGAAATGGAACAAGAATAACTTCCTAAAACTGACCATCCAGGATTCATAAAACGAAACATTGATCACTTCAGACAGACAAGTACGTCAGTTACTGTGAAGCTACAATTCTAGTCATAATGACAACATTTTTTCGACTTGAAAATCCCAAACCAATGTCAACAATAAAACAAAATTTTCCGGCACAACAAAAAGTTTTAAGCCATATAGAGTGGACATGCAAAATGTCTTTAGCTACCAAAAATGAATAATAAAGATTCTACAGTGCTATGCTGACAAAAGCCTCGAGAAAGAAATTTTCATTCGCTGTTGTGTTGTAGTGTTTGCATGGGTGGGTTCTGAGACGTGTGTCAGCTTTAGAAAGGACAAGTTTGAACTTACCGAACATTTCCCCATTGCTTGCATATTCAGTGACAAGATAAAGCATACTTTTCGTTTCCATAACCTACGAGTATAAATGTACAGTAAGTGGGACTCGACCAATCGCTCCGGAATAAGTTATGTCACGTCAACAATCGTCATTTTGTACAACGCACGTTTCTTTGTGGAATATTATTAAAAGCAATCGAAGATTTCAAAGTAAGCTAGACATAATCAAGCTTAAATCTCCTTACCTGGTATAATTTGATGATATAAGGGTGTTGAAGGAGCTTCATGATTTGAATTTCTCGGTAGACTTTCTTTAAATTCATCTCATCGAGTTGTGTTTTGTCGATGATTTTAATTGCAACCTGAAGAAGGAACCAAACCTTAGATGCAACCACCTAAGCTAACATAGCTAAATATTGTATTACAGAAACTGATTCAGGAAAATCAACGACAAAAATAACAATGTTTTCCAACCTTAGTCTTTGTGATCCGATGTTTKGCCAGTTTGACTACAGAGAAGTTCCCTTTGCCAATGGTTTTCTCAATATCATAAAAACCAACCCGGATTGCTTTATTGCGATCAGTCGCCATTCCCATTGTACCATTAGTTAAAACYGGTCTAAAATACGATGAAAAAAACCTGTAAATATGAAGATTGTTTGAAAGGGAAAGTGATGCTAAGCTGACATTTCACCCAGAGCCGAACTAAACGCGTGCTTTACATATGAAATGGCATGGTGACGTCATTGTGCGTAATGGGCTCTGCAAGAGCGTAACGTTGCCACGGGCGACGGATGGGTCATCGTTTTTGAGAACCTATTGACGTGGGCACTACCAAACAGGACAAAGAGAGACAAGACGGATTTCTAGCTCAGCACTTATCTCGGGGTCACAAAAAGTACATATTATTAACATAAGAGGCAAATAAACTCTTCTAAAAGGTGTAAAAATAATTAAATAATAATAGTAAAATGAAAAATTCTTGTCTATGTCCTATGCAGCGTGACATACGCTTAAGTCGGAAGTATATTTAGGTTATGCATGTATGAGCACAAAATGCAACTGTCTCTTATATATATGTTGCGCAACACGGCGCGTGATCATCAAACCCTTAAGGATAATTCTAAAATTAAATTGCTTTAATCTATTTCTGGAAATTTCCTAAATTATTCTTGTAAATGCTCTCTACTTGAATATCGCTTGTTTCTATTCTATAGTATTTAAATGAAAAACAAATGAATAAATAAAAATAAYAACAACAACAATTGAATGGCAAAAGGACCAACAGTGATGTTTTCCAGAACTCGGTGTTTGCTCCTAAATGTTCGTATTCTCAATTTCACTTTATCGCTTTTTTAATCTTTGGTTATTGCTAACTTTAAATTGGTCTTTCGTACTCATCATTTCGCCACTAACAAGAAAGAAAAATGGATTTGATTTGTTAGAGCTTTTGGCTTTAAAAATCAGAAAACTCTTTACTCTGGCGACCGCGCTCATCTTTTATGAAAGTAAACTTCTTTGTTTCTTTCTAGTTTGTTATCAGTTCATTATCCACGTTTAAAACAACTAAAAACTCAATCAATATAGTGAATTCGATGTCAATGATGAGATTCTAAAAAATAAACCTCATGGATAGAAATCCGGACCACTTGCTGAGATTGTGCTACATTAGAGTACAAAAGGATAACAAAAAAAAGGGGGGGAGGTAGTAAATGAAAAGAACGCGAAGAGAAAAAAGAGGGAAAAGAAGATATAGCCCAGAAATAAGAAAAGCTACATTGATGGAATAAAATGGAATAAAAATATGCAACTAAATGCGATGGACAAGCATAATTTGAGAAAAAAAGAAAAATCTTATAATATAATATGCTATTACCTGAGCAGTATATATTGTACAAACTTGAAAAAAAAAAGAAAGAAAAAGCACTAAAAATAAACGAAAAATAAAACAGAAAAAAAAATCATTGTTAGAAATTGCCTAAAACGATAAATTGAAAGAGGTCTGTATCAATAATAAATATTTCGTATTGACTTGATCATTTATTAACAAAAGCGAGATTGTCAGCACACCATTGAACATTGAACGATTAGTATTCACTGATTAGTATTCCCGCGAACATCCAAGGGGCGTTTAAAAAACATTATAGGCTACTAATGACCGCAATTAGATGATCTCTTTTCCATACCTTTTTGTGACAGCACAATAACTGAATTCTATCTTTCAATCTTTAAAGTGTCCGACAAAGTCTTATAAATGTCTTGTTTCAAAACAACGACATCGGAGCAATTTTCTGATATGTACAGTCTAATAGCAGCTCCATTGTTCGTTACCATGTCAACGGCAAGACGTCTTGGATTAGTAAAACAATTGACGTCAACGGAAGCCTACTTTTCGGTATATTTTTTTTTTGAAGATCATATTTTCTCTTATTTTTATAGCCGTCTTCCAAAGATGGATTTTTTTCACACACAGCTGACGGGAATAAACCTGACATTTTAGAGTTTGTTGTAAACACTTGTGATAATATTATTTCCAATTTTTARTAAATGGAAGTCTGGTAATTTCGATAGAAAGCAAATAAAAATCCCTGCTGTAATGTTTTTCACAAGGATTTTTTTTTGTGAATTGACGTCATGGGTTGTTTACAATAAGTAATGCTTGGTGTCACCGAACTGTTTCAGCTTGTTAAAGTAGCTTGTAACATGTTTGCATTAAAGGACTCTTCAGAGACCAATGATTCACAGATGCCAGAATATCAAAACAGACCGACAGAAATCAAAAAGGCCGATGTGTACGAGTAGCAACCGTAATGAACACAGTAGTCCTACGAACAAGAACTTGAAAATATAATYAATCCCTGAATGCGGAATAATAAAAATGGAAACAAAAAGGTACAAGGAAAATGAAAAAAAAAAGAAGAAATGGCTGGAGAAATAAAATAATACCCAATTAAAAACTGCCGAGAAGAAAATGTTTCGAGGAAAGCGCAAAAGAAAAAATGAAAAACATATCACGAAAGCAAACAACAATCTGAAAATGCGACGCAAACATGACAAAAGGTGTAGTGAGTTTCCTGTTTTGGTTCTCCATTAGATGATTGGTATTGGCTTCTAATTCAACTGAGGTCACAAAGAAAATGGCAAAACACGTCCATATACAGCAAAACAATGATCGTTGGTCGGTCGACCGTTAAAACCATTCACCCGAGCACTTTCGGTGTCTTTCGGCAAAGGTCCGGAAAGCTCTCGAAGCAAATAATCACAGATGATCACAGACTAGCATCCGCGCATCACAAAACACGTCTTTCAGTAAGAGGAAATATTAATTATTTTGTGGCGAATAGATAAATAATGTTCTCAAAAAGTCAATTTCGGGATTAATTAAATTATCGGTGGTTATATAACGATTGTTTGCTAACTTTGAGTAGGTTGACCTGAAATAAAACCCCTAGGAAAAAAAAAACATTCAAAATCTTTTAAGATTTTAAAAACATCTTTATCGACCCTTTATCCTCCAAAAATTAAAAGTTGTTGGCRAATATAAAGATTACAGATAGATTCGGCTGTTGATATCACGATCAATTAATTGGATAATATAATGAATTCTTGGTTGTTGCACTAGCATGTGTACGTGACGAAGAAAATTAACGAAATTTTAGTCGAAGTGAAATAGAGCTCTCCAAATATCTCGTTTTGAAACAACGCGAAATCATCTTACCTTATCATATTTGGATTTAAATACTTATTACTTGTGCCAAGGAAAAGAAGATCATTAAATTGGGTGGACTGTTTTTGATCCGACGTCATTGCTGCAGGATATCTTACAATGTATCCTGATGGGTCCTGATGTATATATTTAAATTTTGTGTTACACTATATTACGTGATTCTGTCACGCAAGATCTTTCAAACGAGTGACGTAMGATATTTTAGCGGGTAAAAAATTCAATGTATTCATGCTTTTTCTGGTAAATCCAGAGTCTATCTTAAAACGTATGAAACAATAACTAATAAAATAATGATTTTCCGCTTACTGCATATCAAAATGTGGTATGAAATTAAATTGAAATTCACGCAGAAACAGATTTTTGAAAGTCTTTTGATTCAGATTTTTGAAAACTTTAGAGACCTTTAGAATACACTGTGAATTCATATGGATATACTCCAAATGTATTGTAGTTTTGTGTGTCGTATTTAAAAACAAACCAAAACTAAAAAAAAGCCGGTAATGAGTAGATTCAGTATTTTGAGTCAAACGCTATTTGTTCTGATAGCATTGATCATATTACCATTTACATCAGCATTGAGTTCAAGAATACAATTTTTCAAGATTAAGGTTTGCGATTTCTTACCGTAGCGTTTTTGAACGACTGTAGAAGCCTGGAGGCTTCCAGTAATGTGGAGAAACACATAACGTTTCTCCTTCTTGCACCATAGTTTTCTAAGTAAATCAGCCTTTCTTTTGTTCAACTCCGCAATACCGTAAGCTTTCTTTTGTGTGATTCGCTTGAAAGTCACTCAAATTGTGAAATTCCGTGTTTCGCGGACATCTCTTCGACGCAAATTTTAACGGATGGATGTCATAGTGGAGTTCCCTTACCATATCGCACGTCATACTAATGACGTAAGTATAATTCCTGGCCAATCAACTGGCTTGTTGAAATAAGAAGGTATTGTCATTGAAGACAATGTTTAGYCATCTATCAAAGAAACGAGTTTTACCATTCAAACAAAGAAATTCTTGACTAAGAATGAAAAATGCCTATATTATCCAGCACTAAAGGTACTCAAGCTAGCGTTGAAAAGAGACGAGTAGGCTAATGAAATCGTAATGAAATCGTAGGAAATTATGACGTTATTAAAGAAATGCCATTATTATTATTAAAAGTCTGTGATAAATTACTGCAATTCGTGGCCATGGACGTCATTTAACGTTTAAATTATCTCTCAATCTTAAGCTTTTATGAAAACGTTTGGAGACATGATCTGTGCATTGATTCCCATCACAGTCATAATATAGACCGCTGACTGATAAGAGGATTGACGCAAGAAGAGAAAGAAAGAAGACGGCACAGTCTGGGAGTAAGAAAGTTCAAGTTCGAATTTATCTTGAATTCTGCAAATTAATWTATGTACACGTGCCCGYAAACAAAAAACTTACCGTATCAGGCGGAACAATGATGATAAAGAAAATTAACTAAGGAAATCATAATTAAATAAGATAAAACAYTGGTATTCACCGTTTTCTGTGTATTAGTAATGGTCGAGAAAGCACGCACAAAGGAGTTGGACCGAGGCGTGAATTAAAGTTACAAGCTGACTCATGCGGCAGCTGACGCCTAGGCTTGTTATCATCAGTGCCGTTCATTCTAGTGTTCGCGATAACTGAATCAGTGCCTGTGTGTGGATTTCGGAAATAACTGAGATTGAAAGGAAATATAACTAATAAGTAGTAGAAAGTAGAMAAAAAGGGAAGCAAAATTAGGATGAATGGGAAAGCACCTGCAGAAACTGATAGACGAACTAAAAGATTAATTAAAAGAGACTGAAACGGAAATCAGCAAGCGGACATAGAGAAAAGGAAAATCTAATTC